GCAGGGACTGACTGGAAGGCGAAGGAACTGCATAGGTCGGTGTTTCTGGAGTAAAAAGGCTTCTAAAAATCGTCAACAAGAGGGCTGGACGAGGATGAGACCAGAAGAATGAAAAAGAGTTGGGCGTTTGGACGAGCTACGTCCAGTGCGTCATTGCGTACGTGTGGGTCCCGGTGCAAATAACTGACTACCGTAAGCAAAAATTCATTCACTTATAAGCATAAGTAAACAAAACCTAGTTACAGCAGGAATGGCTCACCTTTTTTCAGCTTATTGGGGTAGGAAATTGAAAAAACGAATCACGGCAGCAAAAAGAATAACAGAGGCAAAAAGAATGGGAGAAAAACATCCTTCATCACTCGGCAATCAGTTGATTGTGTGTGGGTCCCAGAACGAATATTTGCCATTTGTATCGCCTCGACACTCCTCTGACGTGACATCTATCGATAGGCGGGAAAGCCACTCGGGCCAGCAATAGGGCTTCCACTATGCCTTGACTTCGAGGTTTTGGGAGCAAGAGGGTTCCATCTATCACCCAAGGGGGGTAACGAGCACTCCTAAGGGGAAAGCTCAGTAACCATTTGTATCGTGAACCATGCCTTAAGTAGTCGCTGCCTAATGGATAGCCAGCTCAAGTGAAACAATTTGGTATACGTTACTGCGATATGACAGATTGTTTTGAAGCCATGCTAGAGAAGACGTCATACGTTCCTTTCTTTTTTCGCAGTTCTTTTGAACGGTCGTGGTGTTGTATCGACATTAATCACAAACGTGTGCTACTATTACCTTAATTCGATACATCGAAGTAGAGAACACGTCTTAGATTTTCGAAAGAGCTCCATGTCGCGGGAGTGAAGCTTCCTTGTCCGCAGAATCAAACTTGAAATGCTAGGGCGATGCTCAATCAGAGTAGGCGAGGTATTTGCCTGCTTACTGTTCAGAGCTGATCTTTCTCATGCTGAAGAGAGAGCATTTCGTACTGTTGAATTCAAGAGACGAGCTCTCCAGCTTTTCTTGGCTTCAAAGACGCTTATGTTTCTCATTGTCGACACATCCTCTGAAGGGAACAGTGGCGTTTTCCAAAAGCGCATACAGCATTATATACTTCTCTGGAGTGCCGATGACCATGTTGTAGTGGCTTCCCTCTGACTGGACGCGAGTCGTTCGGTGAATGTCAATCTCAAGTTCGTTCCAGTAGCAAATAAAAATCACAGACCAAAGAGAGGTAGCGAATAGGGAAGCCAATGATGGATTTTGTTAATCTACTTCCCGTTCTATTCGACTGCCATCTCTACATTTTAAGGGTACCTGCTGAACGGTAGAATTGGAGAGGGTCGCTCGGCAGAGTTTGCCAAAATCTCAGAGAGAGAAGCTCGTTTCTTCAGCTCAGTTCAAATCAGAACATCTGAGGGTCTCCCAGTCCACTAGTTGTCGTCAAAATCCTATTCCATCTCCTCACGCGGCAACTGTCGGACTGCAGACGGTCGTACAACCGAATTAGAATTGGGCTTATGGAAATGTGATCTGGCTATGGCTTGAATATCGAAATCCTTGTAATTCTTGATGTTTTTGGTGACTGTTGTTATCTAGCAGTAGTATACGATGAGAAAATCTCCCGAGCGTATCAAGTTGTGGACAAAACTTCAGTCACGGACAGGATTCGAACCAGTACCTGTGCTTTCCGAGCACTGTGCCCCTTCTCCCATACATTATCGAGGCCCAAATTGCCCTCGCCTTCGTTATGGGTTCTATGACATAGTTTATCAGCACTCACCCGCACGACGTGAACTTGCTATCCTGATTTACGGCCCGAGATCGTGCTGCAGCTTTATTATTGCAAAAGAAAAGTGCGGACGTCATTTCACATTATCGGCAACATTTAGACATCGAAGAACAGGCGGTGTACCGCTATTGGGAGGGGTATGAAGTTCTACAGAGCACTAGAGCGGGCCCGAGTCTCGATCGAGCCTACGTCTGCCAAAAACTCCCAACTTTCCGCTCGCCTGGGAGGTTCAGAATACTGCTGCTTAGTGTCTTTGAACTCTTTTCCTCAGGATGTAGATATTTTTGAGTTAACTGTGTTCTTCTGGGGCAGAGCTCTAGTACTTAGTTTCTCGCAAATTCATTTCGACGTGTCCATTTCGGCCAAAAACCTTTATAGAACATCGTGACGAGGTAACGTCACCCAAGCATTGCTGTCCCGGTGTAAACTCTTCAGGAGCTGTGTCAGTTCCGAATAAAATTTGATTCTTTATGAAACTGTATATAGTACGAGCTCATATCCGTCTATATTCGTAGTCGGAGGGCAGGGAGGTGGTTACGTTACCTCAATCTCGATCCATGGATCAAATAACATGCCCAGTCTCACCCAGTGGCTCCCTAACACGGCTCCCTAACACACACTTAGCTTTTATGAATAGTGAAGTATCGGCTGCACGATGCAGCCATTATGTAAGTTACTTATACGGTTGGAAAACACTGCCACTGTAGTTCAAGGCTGAATGCTTCCATCACTCGAAGAATTTCTCCTTTCCGCTTGACAAGATCGTGAACCGGCTACCATTCTATGCCTGTTGTTAAAAGAAAAGCGTAAAAGCTGCAGCCCCTTGACTGGTTGACATCGTGGTAAAGAACCCTTTCTTCTGACAGTAACGTTCGCCCAAACGGACGACATGTAGTACGTGGATCGAAGGTTGTTAATGCTGATTCTATTATAATCGTGTCACGAGCCACTAATTCAATTTCACTGGTGTTATTTGGAAAGAGTGAGACCTTGGGAATTGATTTCCCTTCTAAAAAAGTGTTTTTCACCAAGGATGTTGTACGGCTGCCAGGCAAACTTCTACATGACGTTTTCACTTTGATTGTATTGCATGAAATTGATGACTCCCTCACTTGCAAGGCACAGAATTCACATCGGAGTCTTCTTTTGCCTTTAGTCGACCCCCGTCTAAAGATTGACCCCTAGACCTTTGGTGTAGTAGCAAGTGATGCTTTACACACACGCATTCCTGGATCGTTACCTTCTGGTCAAACTAAGCCTTCCATCCCTCCTGGCTAAATGGCGCCAGACTCTTCTGGGAGGATAAAAGCACAGACTTGTACATATGCTAGCCGCTGCAAGTCTTTGTATAGGCCAGATACGCATGCAATTGATCACTACGATTCTGAATGGAAGTTGATGCGTGGCCCACCCTCCAGACGGAACTGATCAACGGCAGGAATCTTTAGTTGTAGGTCATAGTGGTGGAATATGAGACCAGAACGAGATCTGTATGATTCAACTCAGCGATGCGATCCTTTTTCGGAACATTCTACTGCTAGGTACTTAAGTAATGGTAGCATACGTTTACGAGTAATCTAATGATGGGAAAGAACATGAGGGTGGTTAGAACAGGAAACAATTCCTCGTTGATTCGATATACGATTTGTTCAGTGTCATTAACAAACGACGACGATTAGGACGGACGGTTGCGCCGTCGGTGGGACCAGATTCCAACATGGCTATTCGACGACATGTGGGTAGAAGAAGCAATGAGATGCTTCGGTTTCATTTTTTTCCTAGTTGAATTGGATCCTGAATAGTAATGTGTAGATGTGATCGAGAAGGATGATCACATTTCTCCTCCCTCCCCCCATGTACTTAAGGCCAGTAATGTGATTCGGGCGGACAAGAACCAGCTTCACAATCCGTACATTAATCGAGTTCGTATCCGAACCGGCTAGAATGCTGCTTACACTAAGATGATGGATACGGTTACAATTTTCTCCCTTCAGATATTTCTTTCACACTTTTTCTTTCAATGCTTTCAATTTAGTGGAATCTCAGACGGCTATCAATCAGCCTAAGACAGTTCCACGCCTACAAGCTCCTTTTCGACGCCCCTTAAGACAATCATACCCAATATGTTTATGGAATCTTAGCTTTTAGACTACAAGCTACCCCCAAGAGGTGACAGAGAACTGCCAGAGACTATTGATTTGATTGACCTGAGATCGATTTTATTTGTCTGGGTAACGAGCCTTTTCCCAAGGAGGGATCCAAAGATGTTCCCATGATCTCCAGATTCCGAACGGTTTATGGCAAAGCTCACGTTCCTGATCAGCACTCCGCGATGCGGAGACGATCAGGATGGGTGATAAGCCCTCAGTCCGTCTGGGAAATGGTCCTCATCAGGAGGGTGGAAAGATTGTATCGGCTATCCAGGCCAAGGCTTCCCTCAATAGGCTCCAGTATCGTAGATTCTGGACGTCGGACAGCTTTCTTAGCATCTTCTTCTCCGAAAACGGAGCAGATCTCTTGACATTCTTGGAGCAGTGTATAGTTTATGGCTGAGGGGAGATAAAGCAGGAGCAGAAACTGTGGTTCCCACTAGCCTCTCCGGCTCTCATTTACAGTGTTTCCTTATGGATATATACTAAAAAGGTAAGGTGGAACCTTGCCACGATCGCCATAAACTCAGCAAATTCTAGGAAATAAGCAATATTTTACTCTTTCCGGTCAACGACCTTTGACAGATCGGTTCTCCAATGGCTAAGTGGCTACTTTAGCCATCCACGAATTACATGAATACACAAAAGGCAAGCTGAATAGACTTTTATCTTATTGCAAGATCAATAAATAAGCTACTCATCAAGACCGCAACTATCTGTACAAAATAAAAAAAAAGAATTTTGAAGACAATACTCGTCGTCGTGGGGTCGGTACATTACACTGAAACAAATGGCAATGAACGACTGTGTAGAAAAGGGTACGAACTTAGGGCGGCCAATGTAGGTTATGAAGTGCTTTGTGAAGTTGACGACACTGCGATCTGTTGCTAAGGGGGGAGACAAGGTGATGAACTGTGATCAGTCTCTCTGAAGATGGGATGGATCTACGGTGAATGAATGAAAGAGCGCGCTCAAACACAATGAAATCATAACAGAAACAAGCCGCAGAAAAGAAAATTAAAAGTGTAAATCACCACAAGCATGACAATTTATGGGCGATCAATCCTCTAGTGCGTCTTGGCCGTAAGATAATCAGAGATTTCACTCTCAAATTTCTTCGGAATTAGCAAATAGCTGACTTTAGGCAGATTGTGACCTTTGTATGACTCCACTGGAACGTAGATATATGGTTCTTCCGGATTTTGTGGGATCGTAATTGTGGGAAGAGCTTGACCTTCCGCGGATGCACCAGTTTCGTGGCTATTTCCAGTGAGTAAAGTCGTCGTATCAGCAGGTGGTGATGGAGTCTCTTCCAGAGTGCCACTGCCCTCATGTACATCTCCTGATCCTTCTACCTTGTCAGTAGCAACAGTTCCCGCTTCTCCCACCTTTACAAAGGAAGCCTCTGCATGACCAGCAGTCAGAGTTTTTGTCGCACCCTCTTCGCCATGAGCTTCTGCTGTTGCCTCACCCACTCGGCTGGCTGCTCCTTCACCTCCAGCTTTAGCTTCAACAACCGTAGCACCTGCCTTTTCAGTTGATTCGCCACTCTTCGCTTCAGCTGCGTGCTCACCGGCAGCCTCCAATGAAGACTTCCCAGTTACTACCGTAGCAGTCGATGAAACTTCACCTCCCTCTGCGGATTTTGCTTCGGTAACTTCTTTGGATTCAATCTTTGCTTCTGTGGTTTCAGCCTTTTCTGCACCCCCTGCCGCCGTCTCCGTAGTCTCAATCTTCTCTGCATGTGAAGAAGATTCCTCGACTGCTTTTGTGGTTTCGGGTTTTTCGGCGTAGGTAGAGGATTCGGCAGTCGCTTTCTCCTTACTAGCTTCCGCCGATTTTTCTTCAGTCACCGCAGTAACCTCCGTGCTTTTCGCTTGTTCTGTAACTGCTTCCTTGCCTTCAGCAACTGGGGCATGCTGATCTTTGTCGGAGGTGGCCAGCTTCTCATCGATGTTGGTTTCAGCCACTGCTTTGTGGTTTTCGACTTCAGTTGTTTCTCCCTCCTTGGTAGCTAATGGAGCAAAATTGAAGATCTGACGGAAGTTGTTCTTGTTGATGTCCTTGATTGGGTAAATTCCGGTAGGCTGAAAACAATAAATATCAACATCAACACTATCATACTTTCGCACTTAAGTTTTCCTAGCTCATCTTGACCCTTCTCCTTTCAATCTCCATACCTCTTTTGCCATCAGTATGCTCTTTCATCGTACTCACCGCCATTTCAATTTTCCCTACACTGTAACAGAACGGTATCCAGAAGAGATCCATTTCTGTGAACTTTGAATCCCCGTCGCTGGGAGGAGGCTACAAAATCTGCGGCTGGAGCGGATCCTCCCTTTGATTTGAAATCCCGAATGAACGATTTCATCAGAGATTACGAGCTCTACCAATCTGGCTAATTAACGGAATACTCTAAGGGAGAGCTCAGTGGAGAGGCAGCAAGGGATCACCGAGATGAAATTAAGCCATCCCATTTTACATTTTGACAGAGGGAATTGGAGTTTTTTCTATGGTGGGATTGCTCTGTTCAGTTTGGTAGTTCTCCCGATCTATTAATACTGCTACGTTAGCAGCGCTATCAACTGACTCGTAAAAATCTTGAGTTATGGCCATAAAATCAGGATGAATTGGAGAGTTGAGTTAATCACCTCAACTGGTATACAATCGCATCCATCCCCAGGTGAATCGAGGGGTTCGAAACAGATGGAAAGTGCCTAGGCCTATCTACCAGGCGCGGATCTACGCTACATTGATCGATCATCGGATTCGCCTCTGATTGTAGAGCTTGGCGACTTTGAAAGCCTTCTATTTTGCAGACCAACTGGATTTGTTAGAATAACAGCATCGTGTTGTACAAGAAGGAAAGCGAGCAGCGCGTGGAAGATAGGAATTTGGAGAAAAAGTAGCAGTTAGAGAGATTGCTTGAAGGTTTCGTTGCCTGATTGTATTCAGCCTTTCCTGGCCCTTCTTGCCCAACGTAAAGCTCCGAAACTTGTTCACGTCGAACAGATCCCAAATGGCACCAAAGTTGCTCAACTGTGGTTACATGGGTGAGAGTGGAAGCGAAGGGGTACGTGGTGGCCTCCTGAGGCGAAAATCACCAGAAAATCCGACTTTTTTTTACATTGAATAGTCAAAGACCGAGTACTATGTGCCATGCTGAACTTAAACCTTGACGGGACGTTTTGGAACTTGGCACTACCACAGGAGAGTAATACAAGTTAGTAACTCTCAGGATATTAAATGGTTAATTGACCAATGGCAAACTGAAACACAACGAAAGTTCCCAGTCTGTCGGCTCGAAACCTTCAAATTGCAAACTACCAGCCAACTAGGGCACAGTATATTGGTAAATAAGGGGCAAGTGTGGAACCCTCACTCCACTTCAGCAAGTGAAAAGGTGGTGGGGGTAGAATTAAGTATCTAGAGAAGGCCCTCATTAGCTCGGATATAGTCCAAAGATGTTCACGTATAGAGTAGGAGGAAGGTAAACCTACTGTGTTCACAGCGAATTCACCGATGGCATGAGCCCGTCGCAACTTCTCCAAGATGGCGTTGACTCGTTCCTCACTACGAAAGACAAATTTGGAAAGTTGTGTCGAAAAAATAACGATAATGCAGAAAATCAAGGGTACCTTATAACGACCGGAGTAGCGTAGGCTACTGCCAACAGAGAGATAGCGAGAATGGCCAGCCTCATCCCTGAAGATACCAAAAGCTCTCTCAATAATATGCATCTCGCCAAAACAACACAAGGTCGGTTAGAGCACATGTAAATAAACGAATTATTTTAAGAAATAAGCCATTTTGAGAAACTAATATAGCCGGAATATCGCAAGCCAGCCGGCCTGAGCCGGTACAGCAGTCGTAAGGATAGCCAGTGGAGGAGTGAGAATAGAATGACGAAGACAATGGCTATCCTCCGGCTAAATGTCTGCTGTCTAGGATCTAAAAAGAGCTAGCAGAGGAATGAGATCGGTGAGGGGGCTGGCTGGCTGGCTGGCTAGAAGAGATGGGACTGGGTTAGAGTGCAAGGACCGGGCGGCTATTCATCCTAGGCCTGCCTCTTTTATAGCCTGACGCCATTTCAGTCCCGCGCGCCTCGTTTTTTTGCGAGTTTGCGGCCATCTCGCCACGCAATTGCTCATGCAGCAGACGTGCGATAGCGATTGTAAGCAAAACCTGTTGTTGCACATATGCAACAATACTCTCATCATACATCATCACTCTTTACTAAAACAAACTTACTCAATTAGGGAACCTTTGGTCAAAACCTCTGAGTCATTTTTGGACTAAACTGGTTGTGCTTCTTACGGGTGTTGCGTTTAGGAGAACTCCTTGATGAATCAAATCTTTGGGAAATCTTTTTGCCACCCAGCAAAACCCAGCAAACGGTAGACTTCCTCTCTCGGCGATTGACATCTGGGAAGTGTAGCAGTTTGTGAAAGCCTGCTGTGGAGATTCAGCCTAGTGTCGGAGTCGTATGATTGCAAAATTATGGTTGAAACCGATTTATAGATGAATCAAACGAAGGGGAAAGGAATGTGAGTCAGTGTGGCGGTTTATCCAATAACTGGGTCAGAGCCGTTAGCCAGATTAGCCGGATCTTCTTTATGATAGAAAAGTCAGCACAAGCATCTGATCTGAGTCATTCCGAAAGAATTCCCAAACGGCTATAATTCTAAAGCGGCGTACGTACAAGTACCAGAAAAATCAGCAGACCGGACACTGTTCCCTGTTCGTCGTATCCCAAGGGTTCTGAATCACTCAATGAGTCTCACTAATTGCCTAGTTTGGTGATCAGACAAGGCTGAGTAACTTCATTTACAACTGGGATACGTCTCGCTTTCCTGTCAGCGAACAATGACTCATAACTCGAAATAGTGGAACGGACCAGGTAGATAAAAGGTGAATGAACCTGAAGTTTGTATCTCAGAAGCTATGTTCCCATCCCGGTTCAACTTCTATTTCTGGGAGTATCGGGCGGGGGCTTAAAAGCAATGATTAGACCAGTCCGGGCTCCCCATAATCGGGAAGGCCCTTCTTTTGAAAGTTACCTCGTTACTTTGTGGAGCTTTTAAGAGACAAGGCCGAGGCTTCATACAACTTCGATACCTTTAACCCGGGGTAACACTTCGGCCACTCAGATCAAAGCGGTATCTAGCATTAGGACCTACCGACAGAGGTAAACGAACGGTAATGAACGAAGTGGCCTACGATCAAGTGATCGGAAAGGAGGAAGCGCTAAATGCCTGAAGATGGGAGGGTTTCGTGAAGTCGAATGGCGTAGGGTGTTCAAGTGGAAGCGATGAGAAGCAACACGATGTCAGTTGCCGTTCAAGTACCCACTTCTTACGATCTCCTCAAATCTGGTTAGGAGAACACAAGAAAGGCGTTGATAGATAGAAGTGAACGACTTAGTAGAACAAACTCAAACGGATTATCGACGATACTTAGAAGCGAGCTAGAGGCGAGCTAGCCGCGAAACCCATAAACTCGACACTGAACACCATCTTATAACCAAGTGTTTTTTGCTTTGTTCAGGTTTCGTATCTGCGAAGGACGGTCTTTTTATGGGAGAAACGGTAGTCGAAGAGAAAGCAAAGTCAATTGGAGATTTACAAAAAAAGATTCAGTTGGTTTCGGCTTGAAAACTCGTCAGTCTAGAAGGGAAGCAGAGACGTTTGGTCGAGAGCAAGTAGGGGGAAAAGTTGCTATGCCCTTGAATGACTATCAACAAGTCCTGGCTAAGCTGAAACCTTCCAATGAAACCGTAGATACTGGGGAGTACTAGAACTAGGGCTATGCTTGAAAACTGGAAACATTTGAGTTCATCAAAACGCCATAATCTCAAAGACCGAACACCGTCTCCCTCCAGAACTTCCGAGCCCTGAGAATCTAGGGGAATTTCAAAAACAAAAAACTCGATGGCTTCAAGTTGAATACTTGGAAACGGAGGGAGCCAGAGACTTCTTCTCGACTTCTCAAAGAGCTTCAGAAGATGAAGCTCACCCAACTACCAAACCAACGCTTTCCAAAAATCTCATTCATGACGACTAAATAAAAAGATTGAACCAGATTTGGTTTGAAACGTAATTTTAACTGTCTTGTTCCTTTTTCCATTCGAAAAATACATAATGGAGAACTGAGAAATGTCTCTGAGAACTACCACCACCCCACTCGTCAACCGGTAGTAGAAACCAACCAAAATCGCTTTGTTCAGTGTCAGTTCCTAATCGCTACAGTTTTGAGTGGCGATGGTGGAAAAACCATGGTTTGAAGACGGCACGAGTCCAGAATTCCTGATCCACAGCTTAGCTTTTTCCCCCATCTGACATCTTTCCCATCACGGGCAAGTTTGGTAAGCAACCATGACAAGCCCTCCTTCCTCACCCAGTTCCGACTGCGAAGGATTCCCAAAAGATCCCCCGACGATCAAATAATCATTGATCATCGCTAAAATGGGAACAACAATCGGTATTTTTCGGTCACACTTACAAATTTTGATAGCCTTTACGGTTTTTAATCCTCCCAGTCGTTAACCGAAGGCCTTTGACGGTTTTCTCGAACAAACTGCTATCATTTTGAGGGTTCCGGCATACGCCCATATGGGGTTTTACGATGTTCCATATCTTCAAAGTTACAGCGGCAGTTAACAGTGTCGCTATCACTTGCCATGATTCCTGATTGGGCCTGATTAAAGCTGGAGCAAGCTACTGGGTCGGCTTGTCATCACCCTACCTACACAAGGATGATGTAATGTGGTCTCGCCGGGCTGAATCCCATCAAGATCCCCACATTCCTACCCTGCCCGAGGATCTAAAATCAATGGCTCCCGGAATTCATTACTTATGGAATTCGAAAATGCAATTTCCAACTTTACACTTGTTCCATTCCACTGCTCTGCCCCCAAAAATGGCACTGGTATTCGATGTGTGACCGATGCTGTGAATGTCTTTACAGGCTAATTACGCACATACACACCCATACACCCACAGACACACAGAGATGGATCCGTCATTTCTCGGGAACTGGATATTTTCGTCATGTCAGAGGCATGCTGACCGTTTCTTTTGGGGGTATAGGGCATTTACACACACCCACACACAACTCCAAGGGATGACTAAAAGTGCAGATTAGCATTTTGGCGTTAAAGCATACCCCCGACCAACCGACCGACCACAAACCTATCATCGCTACGGTTCATACCGTTGGTTCGTAAGAGTCGTAGCAGAACCAGATCGTTCAGATATGCGTTCATGCGTCATTGAGGAAGGAGGCTTGCGGACGGGCCGTTGCCATAATCATTGTGGGAATCGAAACCAGCACTGTAAAAGTTTTTTTTGTAGAGATAGGCCTGTTAGTTCGCAGGTTTTTTTTTCAGATAACCATCTGAAAAGCCGCTTTGTAGCCATCAAAGCCAAACGCGATTCTTAGTACCCATTGTTCCCTATATCGGACCCCGCTGAATGCCTCAAGTACAGTTTTACTCTAACGACCATTTCCAACATTACATTCCCAGCTTCTTCCATCTGGGACCTACTCAATGACGAAGTAGTTCTATGACCTTGAATGTAAGTAACTTCTCCGAGAGAAATGGTCAATTAACTTTTCTGTTTGTCAGGAAGGTATGTGTGCAGAGGAATCAAAGAAGGAATTGAGGGGGTGTGGTTTAATCGATGATGAAAACAAAGAGAAGATAAATTGCTGGGAATTAAAGTTTCCATAGAGGTTTTCATATTGCAGGAGACACTCTTGAACCAAACCTAATCGAGAATAAACTATAAAAACTATCATCCACTTCCGATGAGAGGGTTCTACTCGCATGACTGCATCGCAACAGTTCACCCACAGCAGGACGAGTTCCATTAACGCCCTCATGTCGTGCTATAATTTGTTCTATTTCACTTTGAGTAAAATTTGTCAAAGCAAAAAGCTCAAAGAGCAGCAAGATCGGCCAAGCGAATCACAGCGTCAACCACGTTTCCCAACTCAAGTAATTGAGGTTACTAATGGGATGCATACGGCCCACAGCACCTATGCTTAGGCCGTCTATGTATGAGTTACTCCTATTTGAAGGTGAAGTAGAGTCAAGCTCTTCCATGGTAACATCAAGAGTTGAAGGATTTTGCTTAGGACATCTGTAGGGCCCTCTGCTGTCAGTGCCGATTCGCATCCATGTGCAACTGGTACGATGTAGGAGTACGATGTGGGGAAGGTTGCTTGCTATCATGACAGCGCCAAGCTTATGNGTGCTTCCATCTTTCTCTTCGACCAGGATTTTCGTTTTCGGCCATAAGTTACTGTCAAGTAACTCTTGGCTCAAGACACCTGGCTTTACCATAGGAAAGACAATCCATCTGGGACGATCATTGACAGAATGGTGTCGGAATGAGGTATCTACGAATCCAAATAGATGTTGCCTTCTACAGAAAGGAGTTAACAAATGGAGCTTCTTCTTGAATGCACTTGTTTCACCCTTCCACATACCCTGCTGACCGACAATATGCCTCCGAAAAGAAAAATCGAAATCACTCCCACATAAAACTTAACCCACTAACTTCTTACCTTCACCCATTCTCACCCTTGCCGTCCCTTCACCGATTAACCACTTCAGTAGACGTGTGGAATGAAATAAAGTACGGTGAGCTTCCATAAAACCATAATAGTTCGAGTACTCCGGTGATTAGTACTTCAACT